GCCTGGAGCAGATGAGTGGAGCGCATGGGCTCTGACAGCCTGGAGCAGATGGGTCTGGAGAGCATGGGCACCACCAACCTGGAGTACACAGGTCCTGAGCCCATGGTGCCAACAGCCTGGATCGCCTGCGCCTCGAGCAGATGGGCACCAACAGACTGGATCTCATGGGTCTCAAGTGGCTGGATGCCAACAGCCTGGCACAGATAGGTGTGGAGTGCATGGGCACCAACAACCTGGAGCACACAGGACCTGAGCACATGGGCACCAACAGCTTTGGGGCCTGGGTCTCGAGCAGATGGGTGCCAACAGCCTGGAGCTCATGGGTCTCAAGTGCATGGGTGCCAACAGCATGGAGCAGATGGGTCTGGAGTGCATGGGCACCAACAGCCTGGAGCTCATGGGTTTGGAGCAGATGGGCGCCAACAGCCTGGAGCTCATGGGTCTCAAGTGCATGGGTGCCAACAGCATGGAGCAGATGGGTCTGGAGCGCATGGGCACCAACAGTCTGGAGGGCAAAGGTTCTGAGTGCATGGGTAGCAACAGCCTGGAGCTCATGGGTCTGAGGAGGATGGGTGCCAACAACCTGGAGCGCACAGGTCCTGAGCACATGGGCGCCAACAGCCTGGAGCTCATGGCTTTGGAGCAGATGGGCGCCAACAGCCTGGAGCAGATGGGTCTGGAGCGCATGGGCACCAACAACCTGGAGTACACAGGTCCTGATCCCATGGTGCCAACAGCCTGGATCACCTGGGTTCAAGCGGATGGGTGTGAACAGCCTGGAGCAGATGGGTGTGGAGCACATGGGCACCAAGAACCTGGACCGCACAGGACCTGAGCGCATGGGCGCCAACAGCCTTGGCTCCTGCATCTAGAGCAGATGGGCGCCAACAGTCGGGAGTTCATGGGTCTCAAGCACATGGGCACCAATATCATAGAGCAAATGGGTCTGGAATGCATGGGTGCTAACAGCCTGTAGTGCACAGGTCCTGAGCACATGGGCGCCAACAGCCTGGAGCTCATGGGTTTGGAGTACATGGGCACCAACAACCTGGAGCACACAGGTCCTCAGCGCACGGGCACCAACAGCCTGGAGCCTCTGGTGCTCGAGCACATGGGTGCCAACAGCGTGGAGCAGATGAGTCTGGAGCACATGGGCACCAATAACCAGGAGTACACAGGTCCTGAGCCCATGGCGCTAATAGCCTGGATCTCCTGGGTCTCGAGCAGATGGGCACCAAGTGCCTGGAGCTATGGGTCTGGAGAGCATGTGTGCTAGCAGCCTGAAGCTCATGGGTCTCAAGCAGACAGGCGCCAACAACTGGAGAGCACAGGACCTGAGCGCATGGGCGCCAATAGCCTGGAGTGCCTGGGTCTCCAGCGGATGGGCGCCAACAGCTTGGAGCCGATGGGTGGAGTGCATGGGCGCCAACAGCCTGGAGCGCTCAGGTCCTGAGCACATGCGCGCCAACAGCCTGGAGCTCCTGGGTCTCGAGTGGATGGTCAGAAACAGCCTGGAGCTCATGGTTCTTCAGCGAATGGGCGCCAACAGCCTGGAGCTGATGGGTGGAGCGCATGGGCACCAACAGCCTGGAGCGCACAGGTCCTGAGCACATGGGCTCCAACAGCTTGGAGAACCTGAGTCTTGAGAAGATGGGCGCCCAAGGCCCAGAGCACATGTGTGGAGCGCATGGGCGCCAACAACTGGAGCACACAGGTCCTGAGTCCATGGTGCCAACAGCCTGGAGCACCAGGGTATCGAACAGATTGGCGCCAACAGCCTGGATCTGGTGGGTGGAGTGCATGGGCACCAATAGCCTGGAGCAGATCGGTCGGAAGCGCATGGGCGCCAACAACCTGGAGAGCACAGGTCCCGAGCTCCTAGACGCCAACAGCATGGAGTGTCTGGGTCTCGAGCCAACAGCCTGGAACTCATGGGTCTGGAGCACATGAGAGCCAACAATCTGGAGCAGATGGATCTGGAACGCAAGGGCGCCAGCAGCCTGGAGCTCATGGGTCTTGAGCATTTGGGCCCCAAAATCCGGGAGCAGATGGGTCTGGTGCGTATGGGAGCCAAGCCTGGAGCTCATGGGTGTCGAGCTGATGGGCACTAGTAACCTGGAGTGCACAGGTCCTGAGTGCATGGGCACCTACAGCTTGGAGCGCCTGGGTCTCGAGGGCATGGACGCCAACAACCTACAGCCAATGGTGCCATGGGCGCCAACAGCCTGGAGCGCACAGGTCCTGAGCGCCTGGGTCTCCAGTGGATGGGTGCCAGTAGCCTTTTGGTCATGGGTTTCAAACGTATGGGCGCCTACAGCCTGGAGCGCCTCGGTTTCGAGTGGATGGGTGCCAGCAGCCCAGTGGTCATGGGTCTTGAGCGCATCTGCACCAACAGCCTGGAGCAGATGAGTCTGGCGTGCCTGGGTCTCGAGCGGATGGGCACCAAGAGCCTGGAGAGCCTGGTTCTCGAGCGCATCAGGGCCAACAGCCTGGAGCTCATGGGTCTCAAGTAGATGGGCGCTAACAACCTGGAGCACACAGGTCCTGAGCGCATGGGAACCAACAGCCTGGAGCGCCTGAGTACATGCAGATGGGCACCAACCGCCCGGAGCTCATGAGTCTCCAGTGGATGGGCACCAACAACCCAGAGTGCACAGGTCCTGAGCGCAAGGGCACCAACAGCCTGGAGCACCTGGGTCTTGAGGGGATGGTCGCTAACAGCCTGGATAGGATGGGTCAGAAGCGCATGGCTTCAACGGCTTGGACGGATGGGTCTGGAGCGGATGGGCACCAACAGCCTGGAGCGCATGGGTCTCGAGTTCATGCGCACCAACTGCCTGGACCGGATGGGTCTGGATCGCATGGGGGCCAAGAGCTGGGAGCGGATGGATCTGGAGTGCATGATCTCCAACAGCCTGGAGGGGAAGGGCCCCTCCATGGGCCGGTCCCTGGGCGCTGGCACCAATTTCATGGGCCTGGCCATGTGTTGCAGTGGTGGTGTCGGCTTTGACCGCGCCATGAAGATGGAATGTGTAAACTTTGGAGGAAGCTTTGCAGGTTCCTTTGTTGGAGCTGGAGGCCATGCTCCTGGCGTGGCCAGGAAGGTTTGTCAGATATTTGCGAGAAATCTCCCATTTGATTTTACATGGAAGATACTAAAGGACAAATTCAATGAATGTGGTTACGGGCTGTATGCTGACATCGAGATAGAGAATGGGAAGTCTAAGGGGTGTGGTGTGGTCAAGGTTGAATTGCCAGACGTGGCTGAGAAAGAGCCTGCGGGATTATGAACAGTGTGAAGCTGAGCAGCCCAGAGATTGATGTTCGGATCGATAGAAATGCTTAATTTGCCTTTTAAAAATATCAATACCAGGGGCCGGGGAGATAGCTCAGTAGGATAAGTGCTTGCCTGGCAAGTCCAAGTTCCTGAGTTCAACCCCTGGTACCTCACAGTAAATAAATAAAAATAAATAAATAAAAAATAAAATAAAATAAAACTACAAATTAAAAAACAAAACAAAACATCAATACCAGACCTCTGAATTTGTATTTTTCCTTGTTAGCCATTTTAATTTGTTGGCTGGATGTATAAAAATGTTTAAAAAATTCAATTGCTTTTTGGGGTAATCTGAATAACTTAATGACTGGGGTTCCATTTGACTGTTTACATTGAGATTGCAATGTGTGCATTATTTTTGTAGTTGTGGTATCTTGTTGACGTCAAATATGGCCTTGATAATAAATACCAGTCCTGAAAAAAAAGGAGTTGAGACAGACACCTTCTCACCTTGTATAGTTTAGCTGACTGAGATCTGGGAGGGAAGTTCTCATAAAGAGGAGGCATCCAAGATCCTACACTGGTGCACCACCATCAAGTGGAAGGAGCAAGATGGAGGGATGCAAATTGTTATGGTTTGTGTTTAGATGTCCACATAAAGCCTCATACAGCCATGGTGGGAGGGCTTTGGAGTGGCAGGCTGATGTTGAGGTGGTAGCATGGTTACTTTTGGGGATTTTGACCAGATCTATGTTGAGACTCAAGAGCAAAGGGCCCAGCACAGTGATTAAAAACACAGTGAATATACAAGAACGGAGTTTATCTGGGCTATATAAGCCTCATCGGTGAAATCCAGTGTTTACTAGACCTCTTAGAAAATCTACAGTTTTAAGAATAAAGCCTTAACTTTGTGCTGCCATTTTCCCTATAGAAACAGCAAGGCCATGAAAGTGAATTTCTAGTACCAGATTTTAGATAAGGCTGTAGGAGACTATGGAGCATTGAGGAAAGACGACATCTGGATGCAGACTGGAAGAGTCATCACATTATCCACACTGACAAAAAGATATCATTCAAATAAGCTATGCAACCACCTACTGTAATACCACAAAGGTAGGTACAAGTTCTGGTTTCTTTTTGACTAGAAAAGAAGGTATCTTAATGGAAAAGTGATACCATAGAAGCTGCTAAGGCACCCTCCAACTTTCTGTATTCATAACAGTATTTAAAATACCCAGCAAAGTCTTTATCAACATAATCCAAAGACCTCTTGCCACATAACTCTTGAAGCCCTAGGGAGAAAAAGAGAAATAAGCTAAAATTTGAAAGTAATTTTGTTCATAAAGACTACTAGAAATTCTGTGTATAGAGACTACAGTCCTCCACCAAACTGGTAACTAATACGATGAGGTTATACTGGAGACCAAGGAAAAGAAATATGGGTGATCTGAAGGAGTTCTGAGCTGTGTAAAATGTTGTGAAATACATGTACTGTTCTGGACATAACAGTAAAAGCTGGCCTTACAGCCAACAGCCTGATGACCTTTTTGTTTTAAATTATAATTTCTGATGACCTTATATGGGCAAAAATTACTGAGTTTCCCAGCATGCCCTGCCTTTGCTTAGGCTGCTGTAACATCAGGCAGTGTGACCTCACAAACCCCTCTATTACACTCTTGAGCCAAAGCCAGGCGCAAACAGCCTGGCCCATCAGTCCAGCGCAGCAGCCGACAGGGGTGGCAGCAGAAGCAAGTGCCTAAGAACTTGGCACTATCCATTCCATCTTCAGGGGCCAATCACCATTCAGGGTGGCACACTTTTGCCCAAAAGTGCAGAACAACTTCATTATCAAGGTAATGACTTTATAATTGTTTACAGTTTTTGTTTTTTTAAGACTTAGCCTGAGAATGTGTCCAAATTATGTGAGGGAGGACTTTGCCTCCTTCCTTGTCTTTCTAAGTTAGTGATCACAGGTTTTTGGTTAAAAAAAGAAGAAAAACTTCCTCTTCTGAGCACATTAGAAGACTATTTCTGTAAGTTTTTGAAGATGTTATAGAAATTATTGAAGAAATAGCACCAAAAGAGTTTGGGGAATGGCCAGGATGGTAAAGGTAGGAATATAGTAGTGTTATGTGAAAGGATAGCCATTAGAGGATAACTAAGCCATTAGAGGACAAAATAAGAGAGTGGGAGGAAGGGACAGAGGGGAAGAAGGGAGGGAGGGGAGGGGGTAACAAAGAAAGGGAGGGAGAAAAGAAGGGAAGAAAGGGAGGGAGAGGGAGGGAGGTAGAGAGAAGAAAGATGAAAATGTGACTCTTTTGAAGTGCTAGAGGAAACAGTGGGACTATTTTGAAGGAAAGTTTTTCCTGGAACTGACTTAGTCCTTCCATGAAGACTTTCCTTTGCTTCAACTCCAAATATTTCATTTAGTGTCCTTCCCCATTGCTCACCTATACTCCAGGCACTTCCTAGCTTAAAGATATATGGTTTCAGGGGTCACTCTAGAGATTCTTGTTGAAATTATTCTGGCTTTTAAAAACCATTGGCAAGCATTTTACAGTTCTTTTTCTCTTTATAGATGTCTGACATTGACTGGCTGCATAGCTGCAGGGGCGTGTGCAAGGTAGATCTCTACAGCCCAGTAAGACAACAAGAGCAAGAACGAAAAGTGGTAAGATACAAAGTGACTCCTAACAAGTAGGAAAACCACCATATGGGTATAGATATACTGGGGCCCCACATAAACTCATGGATGCTGTTAGTCTGTCTTTTCCAACTCAGCAAGCTCAGTAAGGTGTTTCAGTATGCATCACAACATACATCATAAAGGGATGGGTGGGGCGCCCAAGTGAGTGATTGTGAGGGGGCAGGAGTTGAAGGGGAGGGGGAGGAGTAGGAGGGGAGGAGGGAGGACTGGGAGGGGAGGAGGGAGGACTGGGAGGGGAGGAGGGAGGACTGGGAGGGGAGGAGGGAGGAGTGGGAGGGGAAAAGGGAGGACTGGGAGGACAGGAGGGAAGATTGGTTGCCTGGTAGATCTCTAAAGCCCAATGAGACAGGAAGATCAAGAACAAAAAGTGGTAAGACACAAAATGACTGCTAACAAGTAGAAAAACCACCATATGGGTATAGATGTCCTAGGGCCCCACATAAACTCATGGATGCTGTTAGTCTGTCTTCTCCAACCCAGCAAGCTCAGTAAGGTGTTTCAGTATGTATCCCAATACACATCATAAAGGGATGGGTGGGGCACCCAAATGAGAAGTGACAGGGAGGGGGGAGGAGTGGCAGGGGGCAAGGGAGGAGTGGGAGGGGAGGAGGGAGGAGGGAGGAGGGAGGAGTGAGAGAGGAGAAGAGAGGAGTAGGAGGGGAGGAGGGGGGCTGGGAGGGGAGGGGAAGGGTTGGCTGCCTGTTAGATCTTTACAGCCCAATAAGATAGCAAGATCAAGAATGAAAAGTGGTAACAAGGGGCTGGGGAGATAGTTAGGGGCTGGGGAGATAGCTCAGTAGAATAAGTGCTTGCCTGACAAGGGCAAGGGTCTAAGTTCAATCCCTGGTTCTGTCAAAAAAAAGTGGTAAGATACCAAGTGACTCTAACAGTAGAAAAACTGTCACATGGGCATAGATATACTAGGGCCCCACAGAATTTTATAGAGGCTGATACTGTGACTTCTCCAACCCAGCCAGCTCAGTAGGGTCTGTCTGTATACATCACAATATACATCACATAGGGATGAGGGTGGGGAAGCCAAGTGAGGAGTAATGTGGAGGGGGAGGAGTGGGAGAGGAAGAGGGAGTAGTGGGAGGGGAGGAGGGAGGAGTGGGAGGAGAGAAGGGAGGAGTGGGAGGGGAGGGAGAGGAATGGGAAGGGAGAGGGGAGGAGTGGGAGGCAAGGTGAGGAGTGGGAAAGGAGAGGGGAGGAGTGGGAGGGGAGGGGAAGGGTTGGCTGCCTGGTAGATCTTTATAGCCCAATAAGACAGCAAAATCAAGAATGAAAAGTAGTAAGATACCAAGTGACTCTAACAACTGGAAAAACTGCCACATGGGAGTAGATGTACTAAGGTCCTACATAAATTTATAGAGGCTGATACTGTGACTTCTCCAACCCAGCCAGCTCAGTAGGGTCTATCTGTATACATCACAATATACATCACATAGGGATGAGGGCAGGGAAGGCAAGTGAGGAGTGATGTGGAGCTGGAGAAGTGGGAGGGGAGGAGGGAGGAGATGGGGAGGAGTGGGAGGGGTGGGGCATGACTGGGAGGGGAGGAGAGCAGTGGGAGGGGAGGGGGAGGAATGGGAAGGGAGAGGGGAGGAGTGGGACGGGAGGAGGGAGGACTGGGAGGGGAGGGGGAGAGTTGGCTTCCTGCTAGATCTCTATAGCCCAATAAGACAGCAAGATCAAGAATTGAAAAGTGGTAAGATACCAAGTGACTCTAACAAGTGGAAAAACTGCCACATGGGCATAGATATACTTAGTTCCCACATAAATTTATAGAGGCTGATGCTGTTATCTCCAACCCAGCCAGCTCAATAAGGTCTGTCTGTATACATCACAATATACATCACATAGCAATGAGGGTGGGGGAGCCAATTGAGGACTGATGGGAAGAGGGTAGTAGAAGGGGAGAAGGGAGGACTGGGAGGGGAAAGGGCATGATTGGGAGGTGAGGGGTGAAGACTGAGAGGGGAGAGGACTGGGAGGAGGAGCAGGAGTGGGAGGAGGGCAAAGACTAGTAGGGGAGGGCCAAGGAGTGGGAATGGAGTGGGAAGGACTGGGAGGGAGGGGAGGATTGGGAGGGAATGGGGGAGGAAATGTAATGCTAAATTTGTATTTGCCTAGTAATGTTGTTTATTGGGTACTATTGTGTCATTCTAATGAGAACTTTATATACTCTATGTCTTTTAATCCTCACAAGATTCCAATGACTGCATTTATCTGCGAGAAAAAGAAAACTAGGACTGTTTTTGGGCAGAGTTTATCTAAATTCACCCTTCTAATTTTGTGCAGATATGCTTTGTTGATGTGTCCACCCTGAATGTGGAAGATAACGATTGCGAGGTGGGTGTTTCCTACTTAGAGTGGGAGAGAGTGGGCAAACTGCTGAGGAATGTTATCAGTGAACGAGGAAGGAGAAAGGTGGCAGAAGAGGGTGAAAAAGTGGAGAGGACTCAGGTTGAAAGCCATCATTCTCGTGAGCCCAAGGTCTCTGGTTGTGAATTTGTCATTCTGGATATCAAATCTCATTTTATAAGCCACTTCAGTTGCTGATGAGACTAAAATAATTAAAGCATAGAAGACAGCATGTTAGAAATGTGTTTTTAAATTAGTCTGTCCAAAATGGTGATGGCCAACGGAATATGGCTCTTGAGACCTTGTGAGCATCTTCAGAGGGGAAAGGTAATTGTGAGAAGAATTTCTTCTCACAATTCTCACATTCTTCAAGGACTTGCTGGCATTACAAGGCTACAGAAAGAAAAGGATAAGAGAAGGACATGCCATTCATAATTTGAAGTTGTAGTCTAGGGGGAAGCTTGAAGACTCTAAATACAACTGTCTATAATAATTTTATCTTTGAATTCCATAGTGTGGTGCAGGTTCCAGTTCCGACTTCAGTTTTAACCTGCAGAAGCTAGAAGATAAAGAGATAATTGTGATCAAGGACACTGAGAAGAAAGACCAGTCTAAGGTAGACTTAGTCACTTTAACACATAAATACCTATCACTAGGGCCCAATATTGATTTGAGTCTGAAGACCTTAGTTCAAAGATGATGAAGAAACTGTCTAATAAGGTCATCCGTTTGAATAATAAGACATTGTAGAGAACAAAGGAGCATATTTAGTGACAAGGTAAGTTCAACACCCACGTACTTGATAATGGAATTCATTAATCACAGAAGATCAAAAACCATCTCATCATCTTTACAGAGATACTCCAAACAATCTTGCTATTGTTATCCTAACAAAATGAAGGTTTATAGGTGACATCCTTCCAAATGTTTTTTCCTGGCTTTCAATGAACCTATGTGTCTTATTATTTCCCAGCATCTAGCAAAGAAACAAGAGGAATATGGAACTGAAAGCATACATAAGCAAGAATCTGAGTGTTGAGTCCTTATTCTTGATATCTAAGAAAAGACTCAGGCTGTTAAGAAGCTTTAAGTTAGAAGCAATGAGACTTGGATGCTGTCATATACAAAATTCTTTTTTGCTTTTGTTTATTCATATACATATCAATAAACTGTTTATTGAAATCAATAAACTGTTTATTGAAATCAATAAGCTGTTTATTGATATATACATCAATAAACTGTTTATTGAAATCAATAAGCTGTTTATTGAAATATATATCAATAAACTATTGATATACATTGATTATATATTATATATTGATATATTATCAATATATTGATACATAATATATTGATATATTATATATTGATATACTGTATATTATATATTGATTATTGATTACTATATTGATTACTGTTTATTGATCTCTATATTGGTATATATACATCAATAAACAGTATATATATACATATATATGTACATATATATTAAGCTCTTAATTTAGGAAGGACAGTGTAGTATACAAGAAGTCATCCCTATATTCCTACAAGCCAATGAGAGTTGAATGCTGTCATATACAAAATTATTTTTTGTTTTTGTTTATTGATATATGTATATATCAAACTGTTTATTGATATATGTATGTATGTATGTATCTATCTATCTATATATTAGGCTCTTGATTTAGGAAGGATAGTGTAGCACACAAGAAGTCATTCCTATATTCCTACAAGCCAAGTGTTCTGTGTCTCTAGGTTTGCATGTCATAACCAAAAATCATTTCTGGTACCGAACACTTTCAGACTAAGAGGTGTGTCCCCTAAGGAAGTTAAAACAAGTTACATATCATTCTTCAAAGAGTTTGGGGTTTAATTGTGGATGGTCAATTACACTTTAGAGTCTTAAAGGGATGAATTTTATCTGGTAATTATTTTAAAAAGGCAGCCTATATTTTCTACCCCCAGTGCAGATCACCTTCATTGTAACTTAAACCAATTTGCAAATAGATAGCCTGATGACTTCACATTCCCAGAAATGCAGTGTAAGGGACAAGGGAGGCAACAGTGTTTAGAGATGAATGGAAGACATATCCATAGTGTGTACACATATCCAGACATGAACACACAAAGTCACAAAGCATTTCATATACAAAAAAATACACATTTCAAAATAATACAGTTACATACACATGCCTGTATACATGTGACACAAACAAACATTGATGCAACAAACTAGGATACACTATAAACAAAGACTTAATATGCAAAGACATAGTCTGATGTAGTGCATGTGGCACAATAAACACTCATTTATATTCATGGACACAATGCATAAACCCACTTGTACATGCTAACACATTCAAGTCTTGATCAAAACACAGTGACTATATAGACTCAGGTATTCACATGTATGCTTATAAATATATATGCTTGTGCAAAGCTCTATATTATCATACATGATCATGGTGATATACATACATACAAACTTACACAAAGTGATACATATTCATTAGTATCTTTGTATGTATTGATACACATATTGACATAAATACAATGATATACCCAGTTATGTTATTCACATGCATATTCAACTGTCAGAGTATACACAATACATATGTAACACACACTGCCAAACCTTGATAAAGCATATATATATAGCATAATTTGATACACAACTTATTGACATGCAGTCATTATACAATCATCTATTTATACAGTCACATTTTGATACACGTTACATATTAATGAATGTATAAGTTAATATCTGAATTTGTACTTAAACACATATATAGCTGCATCATTCACAGCAGTAAATTTACATCATAAAAATCCTGATGATTTAGACATGACGTTCAGAGACACACTGATATATACAACATTTTGGCACTTACACACGTGTATAAATATGCATGTTTTCAACATGCACTCAGCCCCTCCATCTCTGTTATAAACATAAAGTGGGAGACACAGACAACAACTGTCAGAAAACTGGGAACTGCTACAGTGCATATGCTGACACATTGAGCATTGATCATATGGCTAAAGGACCTCAACACCTCCATAATATGTACCATGTTGGTGTCTATAGTAGGCATGCACAGTAGGTACGATGTCAATACATGATAGCATGGTTACACATATGCAGACACACAGAGACACATTTTTTTCACTAGCAATACACTAGACTGACACATTCTTACATTGCTATATTGACCTCTACCTATACACACACAACATATACATTGACATACCTAGTCAAACACATACTTATCTGGAATCGAAATCACATAGATAACGGTGTATATTTACATATAGAAATATGGTTATTCTGGGCTTTTGTCTGCCCCTTGTGACTGAATATATTAATGGATATAACTGGATTCTACATTCCCATGAAAACTCAAAGATATTTAAATCCCTAATCTGTGCAATTTACAAATATATCTTCTAAATAAAGCAAAGAAGTAGCCTACCCAAGCCCTTACAGAGAGGTGTTTTTCTTTTTTTAGATGGAAGGATCTGTGTGTCTTTTCAAACAAGCTCCCTCTGATCCTTTAATTGTCCTCAATTGGCTCCTCAATGATCTCCAGAAGTATGCCTTAGGATTTCAACATGCGCTCAGTCCCTCCACCTCTAGTTGTAAACATAAAGTGGGAGACACAGATAACAACTGTCAGAAAGCTGGGAACTGCTACAGTGTATATGCTGATAAATTAAGCATTGATCGTATGGCAAAAGGACCTCAACGCCTCCATATAGAATTGACAGCAGCCAAAAATACCAACAATAATCAAAGTTCTTCATCACCCATAGCCAAGTCTTCCCATACTCAGAGGGAAGTTAATTCCCTTGATGGGGAGTGTAGTATGGATGACCTTTCCTACTACGTCAACCGTCTGTCTTCTCTCGTAATCCAGATGGCCCGCAAAGAGATAAAGGAGAAATTAGAAAATGGAAATAAATGCCCTCATCATTCACCATATTTGCCTGTTGGTGACAAAGGGAAAAGTAGCCCCCGTAGTCCTCTTAGTAAGATTGCTTCTGAAATGGCCCATGAAGCGGTTGAATTGACATCTTCTGAAATGCGTGGCACTGTGGAAGAGAATAAAGAGGGAGGACAGAAAACCTTTATGTATGGTGAATTATCTAACAAGAGCAAATGTGGAGAAAAACAACTGTTTCAGAGAGACAGTAAAGAATTTGCAGATTCCATTAGCAAGGGGCTCATGGTTTATGCAAACCAGGTAGCATCTGACATGATGGTCTCTGTTATGAAAACTCTGAAAGTACATAGCACTGGAAAACCAATTCCAGCTTGTGTGGTCCTTAAGAGGGTGTTGTTAAAGCATACGAAGGAAATTGTATCTGATCTGATTGATTCCTGCATGAAGAATCTGCACAATATAACTGGTGTCTTGATGACTGACTCCGATTTTGTCTGCGCTGTCAAGAGAAATCTGTTCAATCATGGAAAACAGAATGCTGCTGACATCATGGAGGCCATGTTGAAACGGCTTGTCAATGCCCTTCTCGGGGAGAAGAAGGAGACTAAGTCTCAGAGTCTGTCATACGCAACTTTGAAAACTGGATCTCAGGATGCTAAATGCAAGAATCAGAGCCTTGAGTTTTCAGCCATGAAAGCTGAGATGAAAGGCAAAGATAAAGACAAAATGAAGTCAGATCCATGTAAGTCTTTGACCAGCGCTGAGAAAGTCAGCGAGCACATCCTCAAGGAGAGTCTGACCATGTGGAACCAGAAGCAAGGAAATCCATGCCAGATGTCCACCAAACTATGTGCCAGTAAAGACGAGAAAAAAGAAAACCTTAGCCCTTCTACAGATTCACTGGCCAAGGACCTAATTGTGTCTGCCCTTAGGCTGATTCAGTACCATTTGACCCAACAAGCTAAAGGTAAAGACACACTTGAAGAAGATTGCCCTGGTTCCTCCTTGGGCTACGTGGCTCAGAGTACCCAATATGAAAAGTGTGGAGGTGGGCAAAATGCCAGAACAATATCAATGAAACATCTTGAATCTCGCGGAGCTCCTGGACCATCTACTTGTCCAAAGGAGACCCAACAGAAGCTGGATATGTCAAGCATTGTTCTTTCACTGATTCAGAAACTGCTGGGTGAGGGCCCTTCCCTTACCTGTGATGAACTGTGTGAAGGTGAGAACAGGTGTGCTGAATCCAGAGCAAACAAAGTATCATCCATGGCCAGAAGATCTGACAAATGTGAAGTACAATGTCAGGATAATGCGGAACTGGACTTTATCAGTGGGATGAAGCAAATGAACCGCCAGTTTATAGATCAGTTGGTAGAATCTGTGATGAAACTATGCATGATCATGGCTAATTACAGCAACAAAGAGTCCTTTGCTGAGCTGGAAGAACAAGAAGCAGGCTTGACAAGCAATCTCAACATTGGCAGTTCCAGGTGTCAGGAGGCCACAATGTCACGTAACCGAGACTGTTCTGGGCCTGAAATTATTGTTAACAATCAATGCTCAACCAGTAACTTGCAAAAGCAGCTGCAGGCTGTCCTGCAATGGATTGCAGCCTCTGAGTTTAATGTGCCCATGCTCTACTTTGTTGGAGATGATGAGGGACAACTGGAAAAGGTAAGCAGTACACCAAAGAAGAAGAAAGAATGGGTGGAGGGGAGGTCAGCATTCATACATACACAAATAATCTCATTCTCTTTCTGTCCACTTACATAGACAGCACAGCTGCATTTTCAACATTACATGGATGCTAGAGAAATACAACACTTAGCCAAATTATTTTCAGTCCAGAACCCTGAACCCAATCTATCCTTCCTATTCCCAACTTCATATTTTTTTAGAGGAGCAGAGAAAAAGTAACTCCAAACTTTCACCAGCAATCAACACATACTAACTTAAGGGCCCAACACCTAGTGGGAAATATTTAGTGAACACAGTTGACTTCAGAGTTTGATTTTGAAGCATGAAAGAAAGTACCTTTGGCTTTTTGATCTGTGTCATTAGAGATGTTTCAAGGGAGACAAAAGCAGATCAGCAGCCTCTACTTTGGCATTCTTGACACACTTTAATTGTAGAATCATGGTTTGGAAGGTTGGCAAAGAGGCCTGGGTGTGTTAGTTCATTTTGTCCAGAGTTCTTTTCCCAGAAAGCATCAGAGGATTCAATCTGCTTTCTATTCAGCTTCCAGAAGTGTCAGCCAAGGCAGCAGAAAAAGGCTATAGTGTGGGAGATCTGCTCCAAGAAGTCATGAAATTTGCCAAGGAACGACAACTGGATGAAGCCGTAGGGAACATGGCTAAGAAACAACTCTTAGACTGGCTCCTCAGTCACCTGTAATATTAAAACTTCTTCAACTCCCCTTCCCCTTACTCCCCCCTCCCTTTCCCCCTGAACAGCATTCCATCTCAGTTGGAGCCACCCCTGATGGTGAACTGCACAACATATGACTGAGTACCATTACATCTGAGCAGTTGCATTGTGCAAATAAAAGATGCCCTGGCTGAGAAAAAAATGTTGTCATTTTCTCGGTCAAACCTGTCTAGGGCAAGGAAGGGAAATGGGTTCAGTTTCCAGACCTGGTGATACAGTGTTGGATTTGTGTCCAGATATCACTTAGGTTATTTACTATGGTAAGCATTCAAAACACAGGAATATAACTCAGGTAAAAAGTTCCCTTTAGCCCTGGTTCTGCAAAAAAAAAAAAAAAAAAAAAAAAAAAAAAAAAAAAAAACAATAACCACAAAAAACAAAGTTCTCTTTAGGGTTAGCACTGAGTTCCTAGATTGGCTCTATGCTTACAAGGATTCAACTGCAATGGTAGATTTCATTGTAGGTTAGATTAAGACAGTAGTTTGCTCTGTTAGCTAGTTCACTATGTGCCTTCATTGCTTGGCTTGAAACCTGCAGGGTGCCAAGGTTTAATAGAACAAACACAAAAGTTGGTGTTCTTCTGGACTCAACATTCAAAGCTTTGCCTCATTCTAGTTACATCTGTTCAGGTAATTCTCCAGTCTTGGAACCTATTTCTTTACTTGTAAAATGTAGCTAAAGTTTATTTTTAAACTGTTTAGAGGTTAAAGTCAGAGAATGGAAGGGAAAGTGTTTTGTACTAGATGGACCTTGTAACAAATCAAAATATGTGAAGGAAGCTGACCTTACACAGTAGAGTGCTCTCTTTATTTAAGAACTGAAAACAGTGCTGGAGTAGGAGACCTAGAAAGGCAATTTCTGGAGGAGGGAAGTGGCATATGGGCCACGTTTGTCAACTTCTTCATAATGTTAGGAACAGCTAGAAGTAAAGACAGGGTCATTTAAAGTAGGACCTTTCAAATTGTTACCTGAATGAAAGCTAAACTAACTGTAGTGGATAGCTAACTAGTGGTCAACTTGTTACACCCAGCTGAATTGAACTAACATGGTGCTGGGTGTGGAAAGCCAACCTGAATATTGTTGCCAGTAGTATAGGAGGAAGAACTGGAAAAGCTGTTGAAAGGCCATTAGGAAGCTGTTTGGAGAAGATGTTGGAGCTGCTGGTTCTCTTGGGCTATTCTGCTGCAGGACCTTGTTGTGCTGGCTTTCTTGATGAGCTTGGTGGCTGCTGTTGAAGAGCTCAGGAGGAACAGTGGAGAAGGGTTCCTTTTTCCCAATAGCCCTTCCAGTATTTCTTATTGGTTGACTTCTTGATCATAGCCATTCTTTCTGAGGTGAGATGGAATCTCAGAGTTGTTTCATTTTGTCTTTCTCAAATGACCAATGGTGTTTTGATCCCCAGAATGCTGTGCTGGCTCTGCTCCTGGGGTGCGCTAAGAGGGTGATTGAGGCTGGGTGTGGTGGCGCGCACCTGTAATCCCAGCACTTGGGAGGCAAAAAACAGGAGGATCACTACAAGTCCGATCTGTGTAGTGAGACCCTGCAGACCATGTACCAATGATGTTGAACATTTTTTCATATTTATCAACCATTTGTATTTTTATGCACATTTTTGGATTGGATCTTTAAATTTAGCAGCCTGATTTTCTTAATTCTTTATGTATTCTAGATAGAAGTTCTTTGTCAGAGGGATAGTTATCTTTTTTTGCAAAATTCATGAGTTTTAGGGCCAGCCAAATAGCTCAGTGGATTAAAGTGCCTACAAGCAGGTGCAGGGGCCAGGAGTTTGATTCCACAGGCCCCTCCCCCGGGGTGCAATGATGGCAATTAAGACTGGGCGTGGTGGCGCGCGCCTGTAATCCCAGCACTTGGGAGGCTGTAAACAGGTGGATCACTACAAGTCTGATCTAGTAGTGAGACCCTGAACATCCTGTAGATCTTCCCTAAGAAATACAAAAAGAAAAAAATCCTTAAGTTTTCTTTTTACTCTGTTGGTGATCACTTTTTTTTTGGTGATCACTTTTGATGTGTAGAAACTTTTTAAATTGTTGAGAAGCCAATAGGAAGCTGTTTGGAGAAACTTTGATGATTCTTTGAAGTATTTCCCATGCAGTTTGGATTTTGTTCATGATTTCTTTACCTACACCTATGTCTTCAAGATTTCTACCTACTTTCTCCTCCACTAGTTTTAATGTTTATGTTTTATTATTTAAATCTTTGATCCATTTTGACTTTAGTTTAGAGCATGGTGATAGACCTGGGTATAATTTTATTCTTTGGCATTTCCAGCACCATTTATTAAAGAGGCTAGCTTTTTTTCCAGGGAACATGTTTGGCCCCTTTGTTAATGATAAGGTTGCTGCGTGTGGTTATAGTTTTGTCTACATCTTTCTATCTATTCCATTGATCCTCAGGTCTATTTTGTTGCCAGTACTATGCTGATTTTATACAGTAGATTTGTAGTACAATTTCAAGTTTGTAAAAAACAAAAACAAACAAAAAAAATTTCAAGTTTGTGATTGTAATGCCTCCTGCCTTTCTGTTGTTGTCCAGGACTGCTTTTATAATTTAAGGGCTCTTCTGGTTCCAGATGAATTTTAGGAAAGTTTTCTCTAGATCTGTGAGGTATACTAATGGTATTTTGAGATTGCATTGAATTTGTATAACAAGTTTGGGAGTATGGCCATTTTCACAATGTTAGTTTTTCCTATCTATGAACGAGAACTGTATTTCCATTTTCTGAAATCCTCTTCAATCTCTTTTCTCAGAGTACACACATTATATTTTAATAAAATGTTTGTAAAATATAAAATTCTAAAATCAGTAAATCAAAACAATCTGTATTATTCTATTGTTCAGCTAGGTATAATGGAATGAATATAGCTTCTTAATATATGATAGACTTACGTTAGATGTTATTTGGAGTACTGTATGCTTCAGTTGCCTGAGTGTCAGATTGTTTCCCCTTTTCTGCTATTACTTCCGCCCATATTCTTTTTATATCATTTGTATTGACTCCTTCTTTCTCATTGATGCCTATTAGTCTCACGTTGTTCATCTTTGCATCATCTTGCAGGTGATGGATTATTCTTTCCTGCATCCTCGTTATTTTTAAGATATCCTTTCTTACCTTTTCACTAGCTGCACCAGCATCTTCAAGATCTGAAACTCTGTCTTCACTTTCACTCAAACAGTTTTGCGAGCTTGTGGTTGAGATTTTAATTTCTTCTGAATCTCTTTGACTGTGCTTCATGCGGTCTATTTCCTATATTTCTCATTGAAGGATTCCATCATTTTTCTAATCTCTTTTTTATCAGTGTCTTCTTGAGAAGCAGTTATTGATTCTTTCATTATAGTTATCCTTTCTTTTTTTACTTCAGAGATTATTTCTCATCTGATTTCCTCCATATGTTGCTGTAGTTGATTCTTTGCTACAGATGCTATTAATTCAGAGATATCATTTTTATTTCAGAGGTTAGTTCTGATCTAAGTGCCTCTATACCTTTCTGCAGTTGTTTCTTTACTTCAGACACTATTAATTCAGACATTTCAGCTGTGTGATTCCAAATTTCTTCTGTGCTAGTCTCTTTAGCATTTGTTCTGGGTAGGCTCAGGGCCTGAGATTGCATTTTGCTCCTTCTCTTTGTCATTTGGTATAATAGTGTCCTCTGACCTTTGGTGTAGAGCTTTGGTGCAGTTATAACCTTAGCACCTACTGAAATTCTTACCCAAGAGACATTATATGATTAAGGAAGTTATAGTTTTGTATTTACAGAACAGTAATAATAGGTAATGGTATTTAGCAGTTGACAAACTTTTGTAACTAGTGGGTTTGTATTTTAGACATCAAGACCAATCACTATGTCTATATAGCTAAGCAGATATTAAGTTGGGAATTTGTATTTAAGTTAGTTCTGCTAAGTTCCATCTGATCACCTCCCCTTGATGCACCTGTTATTTTCCAGGCAGAATAGTTCACCCCGGTTAACTTTTGCCTGCTCTCTCAGTCAAGAGAGAAAGACAGAGGATGATTTTATAGATCTGGGTCTAGCAAAGTCTCTCAGCTTACTGGGTGCAGATCTACAAAGTTTGAATTCATCCAGTTGTACCTGGCTTTGGTCTGGCTGCTGTCCTCAGCTTCTTCCTACTGCAGCTGTTGGATGTGAACCTGCTGGCCCCTTCGGCAAGATGTTCTGTTCCTGGATTAGCTAGGTGGTTCTGGCCCCTAGCCTTTCTGCAGGGACTTCAGCTGCAGAGTTACACACCAGGCCTGTATGCCAGGCCTGGGCTGGGTCTGGAGGGGTCCAGAGAGCAGGACAGAAGGATTCACTCACAGGTAGGTCTGGGCTGGGTCTGGAGGGATCCAGCAGACAAAGGGGAGTGTGGAAACTCTCCCACACACAAGCTGGGCCTGGATTTTGGCTGAGTCTGGAGGAGTCCTGAGAGCGTGGTGGAAGTTATCGCTCACAGGCTGGGGCTGGAGGGACTCGGAGAGGACCAGAGAGCATGGCTGAAGGTGTCACAAGCTGGGTTTGGGCTGGGTCCAGAGGGATTCCGGGGGTGTAGGGGAATGCAGAAGCTCTCCAGCACACTGGCTGGGCCTGGGTTTGGGCTGGGTCTGGAGGGTTCCTGAGAACACAGCAGAAATTCTCACTCACATTCTGGACTTGGGCTGGGTCCGGAGGGGTCTGGACTTATGTTAGAAACTCAATTCTTCCAGATAATTGTGTACAATTTTAGGTCATTTCACAAGATTTGATTTCCTTCTCTGGAGAATGTAAGTAAATCTATCTACAATGTATGTAAAATGTACACTCACAATTTATAGCATAAGTTCTGACATAAAAGTAGTATACTTTCAACTATGTTAGGTATTATAGTTGATGTTAGGTGTGGGAAGGATGGAAGAATTCTGTCATCCTATGATTAAGTATTAGTCTTTTATTTGGCCCTGGACTCTGACCTTTGTAGACACTTACCCTTTTTTGGCCTTAAATGAAACTAGAAGTCAAAAGGGGGCTAGAGTTGTGTACCTGCCTGTTATGGTTTAAATCTAGACACACACACCAAGGTCTCATGGGATCATGGGGGAGGCTTTTGGGAGGTGATTGTATCTCAGGAATAA